TGCCACCAAAGTGGGCAGTGCTTCTTGTAGATATAAGCCATGGGAGAACATTAAAATTTATATGATGAAAAAAATATATGTTCTGACAAATAAAATGATATGTTAAGTATTAAACTCTTCACTTGGACTTTGTACCATTATTCCTTAATATGGAGCTGTGACAAACATGTAGCAGTTAAACCAGTAAATGAAATTTCCTCTGCAGAAGCCACTGTTTAACCAACAAGGGTGACCAGATAAAAATGAAATGTTGGGCAACTAGGATCCTTATGAGGTACAATGTGGGAAAGAAGCAGCTTTTCAGTTGTGCATTTTTTTGTGATTTAGTTTTATGTTTGTTTACATTGAGCTCCTCTCATACTAAAACTAGAAATAGGGCCTGACTTTGACAAATTTTATTAAGCAGTCCTCTGAGAATTGCCTTTCACTGCTTCACTCAGTTATAAAATGTTCCACAGTCTTTGTTGTAGCTATGTTTTGTTTTTCTTTAATCATAGTGTCCATAATACTTTGTGTTAAAATTCTTTACCTTGTTTTAAGAGAATTAGGTGCAGCTCTGAATTTTTTATATTTAGAAAATTACCTTTGAATATTTGTATATGTTTTTACTTTTTTCTTCTAATTTGACCCATTCAAATGCTGGACATTGTTTCCATTTGTGGGATGGTGGGAGAGAAGCGAAAAATGCAGAGTTCACTCTGACTGTTCTGTCCAAATAGGGACATCGGGTAACCCTGCAACCAACAGAGGGCACTATGGCTGAATACCAAAATGTTCTCTATTAAATAAAGATAGCATCATTAAGGCCACATTATAAAGTTTAAATCGCTTTATTTTTTGGCTTAGTTACTCTTTCAATACCATGTCTGGTATGATTAAATAAAATTTCCGTTTCAGATCCTGCTCCATTGTATGCTGAAATCAACCATCAGAATAAAGCCAATAACAAGGAGAAAGGTAGAGTCTGCAAATTAGCTTCATTTCCAATACCCAGTATATTTATTGAAATTATTGTAGGTATTGTAATTATTGAATACAGTATTGTTACCAAATACCCTATTCTAGTTATCCATTTAGCATGATCTCTTAATAAATTAGGATTTTATATTTATGTAACCATTTATTTGATACAAGTTGTGTGTATAGGCTTGTTCAGGTAATTATGACCTTAGGAATCAGAGTCTTGCTTGGGGATTTTGTTTTCATTTATAATGATTGCTGTACATGCAATTGTTTCACACATTTTTTCCCTCCTGTCACAGCCAAGAAGAGCCCTGCAGCAACAGAAGAAACTATTTATTCTGAAATCAAATCACAAACACCTCTGGATAATAAATCTGCCATGTAGACTGAAAAATGTGCTGGTTGATCTATATTGTTGTGCTTCAGTTAATTTATGAAAGTCTTCTTTTAACTATTGCATATGACATTGTTCAATTTAAAAGAAAATCACAATGATCTGATATGCTTAGAAGTTTATATAAAATATAGACTTTATGTGGGATCTTTAAGCCCTTTACATTCAAGCTTTGTGCTTTTAGTACTTATGAGTATGATTTATAACTACAAGTAAATAATCCAAAATTTAGCATGGAGAAGTTTGTTATTGGTGAACTTTCATACTTTGAACTGTGATACACATTTTCACCCTGTTTTGCTGTATTGAATAAAAAGGATGCTCTATAGGCATGTACTAAGAAATAAAAGCTTGTGCATATGTTAGTATTTTTTGCACTTTGTACTTGTACTTGAGTCCATTCCTCTGTGCTTTTAAAGGAAATGTTTTGCTATTCCACAGCTAACTAATGCAAATAGAAAATTCAAGCTAGGTCATATGTGTCACATGAGACAGATGACGGGATAGATGGTGCTATTACTGGTGGCCTGTTGGTTAGC